CCGTTGTGCAAAGACAGGTTAGAAACTTGGGGAGGGGGGGTTGTGTGCAGTTGGGTTCTGCTGGCATCGTCATTCTGCTCAGAGCATCCTCTGAACAAGCGGGCAGTGCTGCATCGCAGGCGGGGGTGGGTGTGGGGTACCGCTGGGCGCCTCCTGGCTGAGCGGGATGCTGCAGGAGGCTGTCCTGTTTGTGGAGTGTGCCGTGATGGCATGTGAAGGGTGGTCTTCCTAGCCCACAGGTCAGTCCTTGACAATGGTAGTCCTGCTGCAGGGGTGCTGTGCTCAGGACTGTGAAACCTGAGGGGGAGCAGTCTGGGTCCTGGCCCAGCTGGGGTTTAAAGAGGTAGCAGAGTCATAGGGAGCTGGTGTGACCAAAAGGAGAGCCATGCTGGGAGCATGGGGACATGCCAGGAACTCTTGTCCTGCACTGTATGTGTCCCTGCTGTCTGTGACGCCCTGTTCTTCCCTTGTGCTGCTGGCAGGCCTACGAGCTCTCTACACTGACCGGCACTCAAGTCCTGCTGCTGGTGGCCAGCGAGACAGGCCATGTGTACACATTTGCCACACGGAAGCTGCAGCCCATGATCACCAGTGAGACAGGGAAGGCGTTGATTCAAACGTGCCTCAACTCCCCGGACTCGCCCCCGCGCTCAGACCCGACCACTGACCAGCGCATGAGCGCGACGGGCTTTGAGGAGACGGACCTCACCTACCAGGTGTCTGAGTCGGACAGCAGCGGGGAGACCAAGGTAATGTTCCTGTGCTTGTGGGCATCCTGGGGGGGCACGGCCTGTGCCTGTGGGACTGTGCTGGGAGCCCTGATCATCCCCAGCCCTCCTTGAGTAGCGGCTTGGGAAGCTGAGGATGAGTCCCCTTTTGCTGCGACTCCAGCAAGCTTGTGCTGTGGCTTCTCACGGCTGGCTCCTTGGCTGCTGGTGGGGGTGATTTGGAGAGGGAGGGAAGTGGGGTGTCAGGTGTCCTGGCCCTGGCTTTTGCTGCAGGGCTCCCACCAGCCCAGGCCACCTCCCTGGCCAGCTCTCAGTGCTCTTATCTCTCCCCAGGCGTCTCCATGCTCTTGCACTCATTGATAAAAATTTGATTCTGCCTCCATGGCCTTATAAGGCCTGGTTTCCCTCACCAGAGTCCCTGGCAGGGCCCCTCACATTCCTTATAAGCTGCAGCTGTCTCTTGCTTTGGTGCTGTTTTGGAAGGGGGCAGGGAGGACATGGGGAATGGAAACATTTTGCTGGACAGAGTGTTTCTCCTCCCTGCCTGGAGTCACTGCAGGCACCAGCCCTTGCCTGCCCATGTTAATTGTGGCCTCTTGGGGTGCCGCAGAGAGCCTGCTGATGGGTGCAGTCAGGCAATGGCCCTTCTCTGCTGGAAGGGTCATGTCTTCTTCCTGCATCCCCTGGTGCTGTTCCTCAGAGCTGTTGGAAGAAAGCTGGCTCCTGTATCCCTGCTGTTGCTTTAGCTGGTGCTCGGCTCCACAAGTGCTTGGAGATGGGAGGCAGGGGACTTTCTGGTGCAAGGCTGGGACAACGTTGCACCACAGCTTCTTGGGCCTGCATGGAGTGCCGCTGGGTGCTGTGAGCTGCTGCATCTCCGCTGTAGCTGTGCTCGTAGCATGGGTGCTGGGCTTGCTGCTTTCAGAGGTACTGTGGCCTTGCTTTAGAAGCCCTTCAACCAACTGTCCCCAAGCCACAGCAGCATCCTTGCCCTACAGTAGCTGCTAAACATGAAGCAGGCAGGACCTAGAGAACAGCATTTGAGATGCCTGTGCTGTAATCCCAAAGGCAAGGAGTGCAGCCCTGAGATGTGCCCAGCATGGGCACTGCAGGGGCGCTCAGCTGCATGTTTGTATCCTGTAGCAGCAGCTCCACAGCTCTGGTCCCAGTCCTGCTGAGTACTTGGCAGACACAATTCCTGTGTGTCTTCTTCCCCACGTGTATGCAGTGCTTCACCAAGCAAAAGCTGACTGCTGCTGAGCCCTGGGAAACAGCAGCAGTCCCAGAGATCCATGTAGGCAGAGGAGCTGTGGTGGGCCAGGGTGTTGCTGGCTGGAAAGCTCTGTGCTGGAGCCCAGAAGAATCCCTGGGTTATGGGAGCACAACAGGCCTGGCTGTCCCAGTCTGGTGTGACTCCTCTGGGTGCATCTGATTCCAAATGTGAGCTGTGACAGCCCTTTCCAGGAGCCTGTTGTCACCAGCAATTTCTCCCTTGCACAGCCTGTGTTTGTCAGGACTTGTGCCTCTTGAGCTTCTCCTGGATGTAAAGGAAAGTCCTGTAGGCATTTTGTCAGGAGACAAATGACCTGTGCCGGCAGTATTTTGTAGGTGCAGCAAGCACTGTGTGTGGCAGATGACCTGCCATGGGGTCATGGGGCTTGTCCACATTTTGTCTTTTTTAAGATTTTCCCAGAAAATACTGCTAGGTGGTGGCCCCAAAGGTGGTGTGCTCTTGGGTTGCAGTTACTCTGCAGAGGAGATGCTTTTAACACAACTTCTCTGTGCCCGCTTTCTGATGCAACCCCCATGGAGTGCCCTGCGAGCTTCATCTCGGTACTCACAAATGGTATTGCTTAATGTGGGGTGCCTTGTGGCCACAGCCAGCATTTGGTGTGGGGCTGGAGGAGCACTGTGGCCCCATCTTCTGCTTGACATTCTGGCTGAACTCACCCCTGGCCTGCTAGGGTTCTTGCCATGGTAAGCCCTAGGTCTGGGGACAGTCCACCCTGACCCTCCCCAGTCTTGCTGTGCTTTCTGCAGGGCTGGAAGCCTGGTTTGGTGCTTGGGCACAGATCAGTGCAATTCAGATAGACCAAGAAGCCCTCTGAGAATGAAGGGACCCTGTGCATGGGCCGTGCTAGGTGGTTGGCATCCTTGCTGAGGGGTAGGTGGTACACAAGGCTGGGTTATGGGTGCCTCATTGGAGGAGGTGGCAGGAAATTAAGTGCTTGGACCATCAGGTCCATCCATGTAGGATGCTCTGGGAAGGTTGGGTGGTTGCTCCCTGGCCTTCCTGTGAACCCTGCCTCCTGGACTTCTGCATGGACAAAACCTGCTTGTGTTCAGCTGCTGCAGCAGAGGGGAGAGCAATGCAGCCAGGCTATTACCTGTAGTCAGCAGCCTGCTGGTATTCCTTTGTGCTACAGCTAGGAGCAGCTAGGAGATCCTCCTGCTGTGCCAAACCCAAATTCCCTGCATGGAGCTGAGCTCGGACTGCTGCTGGAACTGAGGCACGCTGGACTTTCGAGGCAGGAGCTATATCCTCACCATGGTAGTGTTGTGCCCTGAGCTGTCTGATCTTTTGCAGGCCCAAAAGGACACAGTGCCCTCATGGAATCTCCTGAGTTTGGTTATGTGGGAGAGGGGATTTTGGAGGAAGCTCGGAGGCTCTATGTTGGGGTGAGCATAGGAGTAGTCCTTATCTGCTCATCTCTTGGGGTGGAGGAAAAATGGGACTTTCTGCCCCATCTGGAATGCAGACCAGGTGTTGGGAGACCAGATTGGGATTTCCCATGTACCACCAAGGCCGGTAGTCCTGCAGTGTCCTTGTAATAATGCTGACTGGTGAGCCTGGGCCGTGCTGAATTGTCCCAGGTAGCCCCCAGAAGCTGTGGAGCTGGGGTCATTTCTATCCCCAAGACCCTGCTGCGGTCCAGGATGGGCATCAACTGGCCTGGGCCATGCCCTGCAGTCCAGTCATGCTGTATAGCATTTATCAAGCATGCACAGTGGTGTGGGTCTGTGCAGACATCTGCCACTATGCTGCACCTCTCTGCTACACGTTGATTCCCCAGGCACTGCTCTGCAGTCTGAAGTTTGCAGGGAGATATGGTGGGGAATGGATGTGCAGCTGGATCAGGAAGGGAAGGGCCTTCAGGGCTCCTGTGCTGCCTCAGGGCTTGTCCGTGGCCCCTTGCGTAACCTCTGCTAAAGGCAACCCGTGACTTGGCTCCTCCTGAAGGCTGGCCTCGTGCATGTTGTCTGGGCTTTGCAGGGTGCTGGGGGGAGCCAAGGTGCCCAGGGGCTCTGAGACATCCCAGGCAGGCATAGAGAGAAGGCAAGGGGTGTCCAATCCCAAGGTTTCTTCCAGCTCTCTTTCTGTACTGGGAGCTATTGCTGAAGTCCATGAGAAACACAGCAAAGATGGGAGGAATCTGAGTCTCACCTGTGGCAGAGTAGAGAGAGCAGAGACGAGGCGTGCGTGGTTTGAGCCTGCTGGCACAGCCTCCCTCCCAAGCACCTTTGCTCTTCTGATCATACTGAGATTTGCCTTTGTGCTTGCAGAGAGTCCTGGGAATTCCCCCTGAGTAGGGTGCTGTGAATCTTTTGGGATACCTCCACCAATCCGTAGAGTACGGGGTGTGAGGGACTGCTAAGTGCCCTGGATGCCTGGGGACTATATCTCGGGGGTGTCCAGCTTCAGGGCTGTGCCTGGGGATGAGGGAGCCTGGCTTTTTCCAGCTAGGAGCGGGACCCACTCTGCTCTGCTATGGCTCCCATGGCCTGGTGGGCTGGGGGAAGCTCTGCCCTGTCACCCACGTGGGGAGGGTGCCCACAGCCTCCTGGTCCCATGTGGGATGGCAGGAGTTTGTGGTTGAGCTAATGGAAAGTGCCTCTGCTGGGCTCTGCTCTGTTATCACGTGCTTCTTCTAATTCGGACTTCAGGGACTGTGGTGCCAAGGCGGAGGGGTGTTGTTCTCCTCCCTCCCTCCCCAGGCTCTGGGGCACGGCTGAGTGCCCGGGATTGGCTCCCCCTGTCCAAAATGGGCTGCCTTCCCTTTTTTAGCTGTTGGTTGAGCTGTGAATCCTCGTTCCTGGCAGCTTGACAAGCTGGGAACAAGGCTTAGCATGTGGGAGAGCTGGGCCCACCAGCCTGCAGCAGGAGGGGTGGGAGTGTGGCAGCCTTAACTCTTCCCAGGCGTGCCAGCAGCCATGGCAGGGCGCGGGGACAGCAGGTCCCTTGTGGCCTGTGGCGAGGTCTCCTGTGGAGCAGTGTGTCTGCAGTCTGCTCTTGGCCAGCTGAGCAGGGCAGGATGGGGCCGTGGAGACCCTGGGTTATCCCCAAGGGGATTTGGAAGAAGCCAATCTTAGGTGAAGGGTGACTACCAGGGGCAGCGGGGACCGTGCTGGGGTTTGGTTGATTCCTGAAGATCCAAGCCACATCCAGCCACATACTTTGTGGCTGCGGAAGCTGGGGTGTTAGGTGCCCTGTAGCTTGGCACACGCACTCTTCCCCTTGTTCCCGGACCCGAGCTAGCGCTGGCCCAGCCCAGGGCCCTTTTCCTTTTCCTCCTGGGGATCAGCTTCCTTGGCAATGCTGTCCTCAGGCAGGTGCAGAACTCTGATGCTCCTTGCAGAACTGTGGTGTGTGCTGGCTGTAGGTAGCGTGTGTGGTCTCTTGGAAGCATTTGTCTTCTGCCTGCTCTCTGCTGCTGGTGGACTGGCAAATGGGTGCTTCCCCTGGCCAGGTTCTCCCCTTTGTTCCAGGAGATCTGTGGAGGGCCTGCCAAACCAGCTGTCAGGAGTGGCTCTGGGCCTCCCTGGGGTGCAGGTTTGGCCTCACCTCTCCTGTGTTGCTTTCGTTGAACAGCTGCCTTTAAGAGCCAGTTCTCGGCTAGTTTTTGGCCGTGTGTTTCCTGCCATAAGGGAAGTGGTGTATGTTCCTGACAGGAGATAGTGTGTTTGCCTTTATGTCTGTTCCTGCAAGGTCTGCTTTTGCCTGTTGTGTGCCAAAAAAGAGGCTGTTCTCCTCGTAGAAGCTATGGGGACTCCTGGGAAGGGGAAGGGTTGCTTCATCCCCTGGTGTCTTGCAGGGAAGTCTCTCAGGGGACCTGCATGGCCCTGGGCTTGTATCCAAGGTTTAAGCTGAGCTCTCTCCAGCTCTTCTCGTGCTGCGTTATTGGGCACAGTCTTCTCATGTTTGTACAAGCAGTTTCTCTCTGCTCCCCAGGCTCTGCTCCGTGTGCTGGCAGCAGGCTATGGGGGTATGGATTAGCACGGGGATGCAATGTATGGAGCCCGGTTTGGTCGCGTGGGTGGATGTTGACCAGATCCAAGGGCTGGTCTGAGTTGTCACCATCTCTCCTTCCCCAGGACGCACTGAAACCAGCGTTCACTGTCACCAACCTGCCGGGGACAACGTCCACCATCCAGACAGCCCCCACCACCTCGACCTCCATGCAGGTCAGCAGTGGCCCGTCATTCCCCATCACTAATTACCTGGCGCCAGTGTCTGCCAGCATCAGCCCCAATGCCGTCACCAGTGCCAACGGGACAGTGCTGAAGACTACTGGAGCCAGTGCAGTGACATCTGGGGGCCTCATGCCAATACCCACCGGCTTCACGCTCATGTCAGGTCAGTGCCTTTATGGGCTGAGGACTGCATCTATCCGCCTCTGCGTGTGGAGTGTGCGCTGCCCTCTCCAGAGGAGAGGAGACCTTGTGGCAGGAGAAAGCAGAGTGGTTGCTACTGCAGGGTGAAGCTGGCTGAGATTCCTTGCTTAAGCCCAGCCAGGCCAGTGGCTGAAGCAGTGTCGTGTAGTGACTATTTCCTTAGAGTGCTGCTAGCTGTCCCTGCTGCTGGGAAGGGCGTGGTGGTACGGAGCTGAGCTGGGACCCCAGGGCAGCACCAAGAAGCCTGGAGGGAGTGAAAAGAGCTGGTGGTGACAAAGCCTTTCTTTCTCCCTCCTTTTGGCAGGTGCTTCCCTTTCTCCGGGGACCCCTACCATTCCTCTCACTCAGTTACAGACGCACTCCCTGGCTCTTTCCAGCCAGCAGGGCCAGGTGGTCATGGGTATGGCTGGACAGCTGCAGCAGGCACAACAGACAGTCTTCCACTTCCCTGCCAGAGCTGGAGGGCAGATTGTGCCGCTGACAGGTCAGCACTCGCTTCTCCTCCGCTTGCTTGAGGTGGGGGGATGGAGGCGTCTGTGAGGGTCCTCTTCCTGGCCAGAGAGCTGACCCCCAGCTGAGGTGGGGGGCACAGAAGAGGCAGAGCACAGGGCACCCTGGCTGTGGCTGCAGGGGAGAGATGGGAGGACAGGGCAGAGAATGCTTGGTGTAGGTAGGAGCACCATCCCGGGGGATACAGGCTGAGGGAAGCAGTGGGTTGGCAGTCTCCTGCCCCGGGGTTTGCCCGGCAGACAGTAAATGAAGAGGAGCCAGGTCCCTCATGCAGCTGTGCTGAGGCTGAACTGTGCTGCTCAGAGGACTGATGGAAGGAGGGGGGCAGCCCACATCTGGCAGGGGTTGGATGCCCAATGGATGTGTTTTTGAGTGCTGGCATTTGGCACTGAGCAGCTGCACTTGCTTTTGTATTTGGATCTGCAGTCAGTTGCTGAACGACAGCGCAGAGGATAGATGAGGAGAGACCCCAGAGCAGAGGAGAGGGTGGTGCTGCTGTGCTGCCTTGTACGCGTTGTCCTTTGTAGGTATTTCTTGTTGTGCTGTGTCAAGGATCTCTGGGCGTTGCTCTGGAGCTGGATGTGCTCCTGGCTGGAGTTTCAGAACAGGGCTAGGCTCACCTTTGTGGGGCAGCCATCATCGGGGGACTGGCACCAAGAGTGAGACAGTCTTTCTTGTGTCCTGCCTGTTTGTGCCCAAGTCGTTGAGTCTGATAGCCCTTATGGCTCCTGTGAGCCCAGATGCATAGCGTGAGGCCATGCAAGGGGACTGAATTTCCCTTGGGATCTGGAGGAGCCAAGAGAATAATGGACACATGTCTCTGGTGTGGTATGTGGGGGGGATACCTAGTCTGAGCAAGGCAGCTGGTGATTCCTGGTCTCTGGCATCCAGGCTCTTCCCTCTGGAGACAGGACCTGAGCCTGAGGAAAGCTTTCTGTGCTAAGCTCCATCTCTGGAGCTGAAGAGCTTTGCAGTGAATGGGCTGGGCTGGAGATTGTGTGGCCATGCTCCCGCAGCTCTGTGGTGCACACCTTGGGGACTAGTTGTCTCTAATCTCTCTGTAGGGCTCTGGGATGTTCTTGAGATCACAAGATAGGTGAGATAGCTGTTTCCCTGTGGAGGATGGAGCTGGGCTCCAGAGTGTGAAGGCAGCAGGACCCAGCTGGCGGTTCTGCTCGGTGCAGCGAGACGATCCTTGCAGGGCTGGCTGAGCATGGGCAGTGAGAGGCCATCTCCTCCTGTCATCTTCTGCGATGTGTCTTGGAAGAGCCAGCAATGGCGAGGAGGGCTCCAGACATTCCTGAACCATGCCTGGGAGCTGGACAAAAGCTGATGTGGCTATTCCTTTTCTCTCTGGAGCCCTGTAGGGCAGCTAAACCCTCCTTGGCCCTTTTGTGCCAGGAAAGAGCCTGCTGTTTGGGGCAGGGCCTAGTTTCTGCCACGTGCTGCTTTTGGCTAGCCTTCCCCAGCAGAGTGCAGAACCACGCTGCAGAGCTGTATGCAGCCAGAGAGGGACTGGGGGTGTTTCACATGGCCCAGAGTGCCTGTGTCCTTGCTGAGCCCCAGGCTTATGGGCTCCTCTCTCTCCCCAGGTGGTACCATGGCTCAGCAGGTCCCAGTCCAGGCCATCCAGGTGCACCAGGCACCGCAGCAAACGTCTCCCTCTAGCGACAGCAGCACTGACCTTACCCAGACCTCTTCCAGCGGAACAGGTAATTGGGACATTATGGTAATCATGTTCTGTCTTCCTTCCTAACCACTGCTGATAACAACCCACACCAGTAGCCGTCACACCTGCTCCCTGCCCAGGATCCCTCTTCAGACCAGCTCTGTCCCAGCCTTTCTGACAGTTTCCCAGGTGTAGTTTCCCCTGTTGCCAGCACCTGTGCTATGCTATGTCTAGGTAGATGCAGCTGTGCAATCCCTTACAAGGTATTTCATAGCCTCTCCAGATAATTAGCTGCTCTTACTTGGAGCACAGAGCTCGGAACAGGTTGCCTAGTTCTCAGATGGTTTCTTAGTGAGCCAGCAGGACCCCTAGCACAAGGCATTGGCTTGTATCTGCTTGAGATTTTTACTGTATATAGAATGCAGAGGACACCTCTGTTGTCAGCAAAATCTGAGTTCAGGTGCCTGGGTGCAGGCTGAATCCAGTTCAACAGCTTTATTAAAGCTTCACCAGGAAACTCCTATCTCAAGTTGAATTCAGTGTTGGGCTATTTGGCTACTGTGCTTTACTACCCTCTTGTACTCGCTCATGAAAGGAGAGGTTTGAGCTCTCCTGCCTGTTCCCTGGGGCTTTTCCCTAAGAGCTTGGGAGAACAAGATGGGTATCTCCGTGCCCCTGCTGCTTCAGAACAGCATGCCAAGGGTAGCTGAGGGAGGGATGCTGAGCAGGCACGAGTGTAGCAGACTTCTTCTGTGTGGCTCACGTGTGGCCTGTCCTCATTCCAGTGACCCTTCCGGCGACCATCATGACATCGCCTGTGCCAACCACTGTGGGTGGCCACATGATGTACCCCAGCCCACATGCGGTGATGTACACGCCCACATCTGGCCTTGCGGATGGTGGACTTGCAGTCCTCAATGCTTTTTCACAGGCACCCTCAGCGATGCAGGTGTCCCATGGCCAGGTCCAGGATCAGGGTAAGACAGCTGTCTGTGTCAGTGCTCCCTTAAATGCTCTGACACCCTGGTTTTTCTCCTTGTGTGTATTTATGCTATGTATTCATTTCAAATAATTTTCTTCTAAGCAGCCCTAGCAGCTGTACAAAGGCTTGTCAAGGGTGATACTTGATGTGTGCTTTTAGATCCCACTGTTCTCCTATGCAAAGGATTGCTTGAGGTGTTTGCTGGGGAAAAGGGTCAGGGTTGCTGGGACAGGTGGCAATGGGGCAGGCAGTGAAGGGAGCTAGGAAAATCTGGAAAGGATGTGTGTTTACGTGAGGGGGCAAAGCAGCATGAAGCCCTGCAGGCGGGACTTGGATTGAGAGCTTGTGCCTGCTTCTCCCTGCATCTGGAAAACTAGCACATGTGGCTTTCTCCTGGGGCACCTCCATGCATGCAAACAGGCACCTTCATCCCTGGGAAGCTCCACGGAGCTCAAAGGAAGGACTCATGGGGGAGCACTGTTTAAGGGATGGTGTCATTTGTGTTCTCTCTCTGTGGCAGGTGGTGTCCCCCAAGTGTTCCTGACAGCACCATCAGGCACGGTTCAGATCCCAGTCTCAGCCGTCCAGCTTCACCAGGTAGGTGCTGAGCGGTACTCGCAGGTGTTCAGGGGGTGTCCTTGCTCTGCCCTTGCCTGCACATCCTGGGTGGGTCTGGGCAGACCCGGGCACTTGGGTAGGGCCAGTCCCCAGATCAGGGAAAGATGTCAGTGCCACCCACCCTCAGGTGAGCAAGTCTTGCCCTCCTTGGACAGGTGTCCAGAAAGCACAGTGCCACCTGGGCTGCTGGCACACATGATCTTGGGGTATGCTGTCCCCCAGTGCTTCCTTCTCCCTTTTCTCTCTAGATGGCTGTCATCGGGCAGCAGAGCAGCAGTGGCAGCAGCCTGACGGAGCTGCAGGTGGTCAACTTGGACACCTCACACAGCGCCAAGAGTGACTGAGAGTCCTCTGCTGCTGGCCTTGTGCTGTCCCTGGCTTGTTGTGCCAGTGCTGGGGCTGGCAGCAATTCCTTCTCGTACAGACTGCACCAGTTATTTATTGTTGCCTTTTCACGTTTCCTTCATCCACACGTGCACACACACACACCCACCCACACCCACACAGATACACACAGGCATGCGCGTGGGGCTGCAGGGCCCACCTGAGGTGGAGCTGTGCTGGGGCTGTGCAGGGCTTTCGGGGCATTTCGGATGCTGCAATAGCTGTGTTTGTCTCACGCCAGCCAAAGAAACTTGTCTCTTGAGGGGGAGGATTGTGCTGTAAATAAATACTGCAGGCCGTTCCCAGCTGGAGGCTCTGGCTCCTTCTGGGTGCTCTAAGACATGTTGCCCATGAGTGTTTGGCTCTGCGAGGGGCTCAGCTCAGACCTAGAGCTGTCCTGCAGATGCAGCTCAGAGCAGAATGGGCCAAGGCTGTGCTGCTGGCCTCAGCAATGTGCCTTTGTGGGGGTGACAGTTCCTGGCCGCAGCAACTCACCCTGGGCTCTGGACAGGGGAAGAGTGGCCAGCTTGCATGTGCATCTCTGCTTGGACCTGCACGCCCTCCCTCCGGAGGGCCAGGCACAGCCTGTGGCACATGGTCCCATCTTCCTTGTCCTCCTTGTATGCACTACAGTGAGCCCTTTGCTCTCGGTGCCTCCTTGCTGGGCTGCTGGGCAGATGTGCAGCCTGCCTGGTTCTGCCCCAGCAGCTGCCCTCGCACAGCTGAGGTGGTTGTTGGATACCCAGGAGCCCAACGATGCCCTGGAGAGCTCCTGGGGGAGCGCTCTGTGGCCAGCCCAGCCCCAAGCTCTCCTCTCAGCCCCTTTCACTGCTTGCAGACTCCGCACACCCAGGGGAATGTGGCCGGGTCTTTCCCATATCCCCCTGCAACTCCAGCCAGCGCTTTCTAAATTTCTGTGTCCGATGCAATGTGGAGAAACAACTCAAGTGTCAAAGGGAGGAGCCCGTGGGGCACTGAGCTGCTGGGCAGGTGGCAGGCTCTTCCTCTGAGCACCAGGGTGACCTGCAGGCCATCCTGGACTGTGGAGGAGCAGCAGCGATGCCTGTGCAGGCTCAGCAAGGCTGAGGGAGAAGGGCTGGAGCATGCTTGGTCCTGCATGGGAGTTGCTGTGAATGGCTCTGCTACCTAGCCCTGTCCCTAGAGGGAGAGTGAGCAAGTGGGAGAAGCTGCTGAATCCTTAGGGGAAGAAGCAGCTACTGTAACTTTTTTTTTTTTTTAAGTTAAAGACAAAAGAAGCCTTGGAGAAAAATGGAGAAAAAAAAAAAAAAATAAGAAGAAAATGACTTTATTTTTCTAAGTGTTAAACTCAGTATTTATGTAATTCTTTAAGGAATAAAAGTTTGGCTCCTGTACAGTTTTCATGGGGTTTGTACTAGGGGGATGGGAGAGGGGTGGGGGGACATGGAGGCAGGAAAGGGGCCTTGCTTTTGAGTTTGTATTGTAACCTTGGACATGTTCCCTCAGCATTAGCGTTTAAGCTGCACTCTCGACCCACCAGCATGTGCCAGGGATCAAGCTGAACCAAGTGGTATGCTTGTTTCCCACACAGCCATCATTTTGGACTTAACGGGCAGAAGGCAAGTGAAGCAGTGGCTGGTTTCTAGAAGCGGCAAACCCATCCCTCAGGAGCAAGGGGCTTGCAGTGTGCCTGGGAGCCAGAGGTGGGCTGGGTTTTCTGATGACTGCCCTGTTCACCTCTGGTCCTGAGACCTGCATCTGTTCTGTCAACTGCTCTTGGTGTGGAGCAGTGCTACCTCTGGTTGCTTAAGGAATAGGGGCATCCCGGCTTCTCCCTGGGTGGTGAGGGGCCAGCAGTGGCTCATCCCTGCTCTCTGAGTAGTGACATCTCCTGAACTCCTAGCTGATGATCTGGGCTGTATTTCCCCCTCTATAGTTGTTCCTTAGTGCACAGATGTAGACAGGTCCCCTCCAAGCCCCCTGTGCAAAGGGCTTTCAACCCTCAGTCTGTTATGCAGCCTGGGAAGGGCTCGTGGGGAGTGGGGTGGCCCATCTGGTGAGAGTGACACTGCATGCTTCCTCCCCTTAGCATCCTTCCTCTAAAAGTTATGTGTACCCGGTAGCTCGGAGCACGTGGGAGTGTGCTGTGCCATGCCCCAGTGCTAGGTGTATGAAAGCCACTCAGGGGTGCTTCCAAAACAAGCCTGGGTAACCTGGGAGTTTGTCCAGGGAGAAGGAGAGGGTTGGGGTTTGCGTTGTCCTTTGCCCTTGCACGTCACTGCGTCCTGGCTTTGCTCTGCTTTGCTCGTGCTAGCACTGTGAAGCAGAGCTGTTGGGCTGGGAGGGCAGGAGTGCCCCTGCTGCTACAGGGTGTCCCCTCCTTGGCTCCCCCAAGGCAACTGCTGGTTAAACGCTAATGGTGTATTTTATTTAAGTGCAGACTTGTAAGAACACTTGTGTATCAGGGATGAAATGGCATTTATTGTGTGGTGACATTTTTAGTTCATTTTACTGGTTTGAGGGGGGTGTGTGTGTGCGTGTGTGTGAGTGTGTGTACGCATAAGTGTGTGGGGGATTATTTTTTTTTTCCCCTCCAGTTTCCAGGGTTGTGTTTCTGGAAGGATGTGGAAGTAATCACAGTACTATGTACAGAGCTTTCTTTTGTATTAAACAAAAAATTACTCTTTCAATAAATGTTATCATTTTGTGCACAGACTTGCGATCTTGGCCGTGCTTTGCAGGAGGGGACCACACACACCTTAGGGCTGATGGAAGGGGATCAGAGGCAGATTGCTGCACCTGCTTGTGTACAGCGGAGGGTGGGGGGGCTGTCTGGGCAGGATGTGGCAAAGAGGGGCTCTTTGCAAAAGTCTCCATCCCTGTTGCCCCCTGCACAGGTGAGAGCTGACCAGCTGGACTCTGGGAGTCAGAGAAACATCAAAGAAAAGATGACCCCCAGGCCTGGTGTTGGTTGGATTATATATTTATGTATTGATAAAGTACCACAAACCAAAGGAGGATAGAGATATTTTTCACTAGTGACAGAGGTATTTCCAGGATAGATAAAAGTTTTGTATGAAGATGCTGCTGTTGACCTCAGATTGGACTCGACAGATAAGTGATGCTGGCCAAGGCTCTGTCATTGTGGGAGATGTCCTGGAGCTGGTATCTCAGAGCATCCAGATGTGGTGGTTGGTGGTGTGCGGTACCATCACCAGGCCTCTGGACAAGCAGAAAGAACAAACTGGGCTTTAAAATAAACCAGTTGAAAGGCTGCAGGCAGAACACAGAATCACAGAATGTTAGAGAT